GTTAATTAATTCATGTCTATATTCTGCATTAACAACTTAATTTTGAAAACTCACAGGAAGCACCCAATATTGTCTACTTTCTTTTATGTAGTTTAATTTTTTCTTTGTAAAAAAATGGTAAATTTGATTTCGTTATCCATGTTTTATATGATTTGAAATTTTGTCCTGTGTATGAGATCTTGGTTTTGTCTCCATACTAACCCGATATTTAAAATAAAAATGTTAAAAATTGAAATGATAAAAATTAAATTTAAATAATTAAATTAGTAACTTCACCAAATATAAGGGAATGAAAGTTGCCTTAACCCTAACATTACTCGTGGCATTTACTTTTTTTTTTTTGGGAATAAAAGTGGCAAGCTTAAAGCCTGGGGAGAATTATATAAAAGTAGAGTTCTATAATACAATCACAAAAGAAAACCACCAATTAATTGATAATATTTGTTTCTTTCTTGATTAAAATTCTGCATTCATTAGGAACGACTGAAATCAGCTGCATCATCATCTCCCCTTCATCCACACTCTTCATTAGGCAATCTGCAACTTTGAAAGCTCCTCTATAGGCATGATTTAGGCTCACTTTCCAGTCATCAAAAATAATATTTTTAGTATCCTCCAAAATATTTTTATATCTGTGTCCATCATCGCCACTCTTTGCATTTACTTTGATCAAAAGTAAATACCACATTTTGACAGAATTTAGCTGCTTTTCCCACACGAACAAAGCCAACAAATTCAAAGTGTTACAGAGTTCGCACTATCAACAGTCAACACGACAAACACACACCAATCTAACGTTGAAGCTGTAATGCTGCCGCCCCGCAACAGTTCAAGTCAACCTTTGTTTTGTTATTGCATCCCCACTTTGCCCCTAAAATTATCATTTTTCTTTTTTCTTTTTTTTAAAATTCAGATTGCTTTTTTTATTAAAAAACAAGTCATTTGGATCCAAAAAAAATATCAAGTCGTGCATATAGTGTGTTTCTTTTTTTTAAAAAAATATTTAATTATTTTGTGTGTTGGTGTTTCATATTAATTTAATTATATTTACTCATATATTAATAATAAAATGAAAACCATTTTTTTTATAAAAAATGAGTTCTTTTTTTTTATAACAATACAAGTCAAAATCACAAAAAGGTATTGAATGTAATTTAACTCAATTTGAAAACTATAATTTATTCAAAAAAAAATGGTGATTGCCGAATGAACGAGACTATTGATACAGAGAATAATGCCGTTTCAAAGGTTGACTCTAATATTAAAAGACTTACATATGCATCGTATCATGCAAACAAGAAATTGATTCCAAAACCAAACTGAATGTCACCCATTTCTGATTAATTTGTTGACTTTTATGCCTGCATTATTCATTAATAATATTCTAAAGAACCCCATTTTTGGTGGTCAAGCAGCACAGATCCATTGTGAGTTATTTAAAATCTGTAGCAAAGAATCTGCGCACTTCTCTTGTGTTTCCATCTGTTTTTTTTTTTTTTCTTTTCAAAACCATGTACAATAAATAGCACTCAACAAGAGATAGATCTAGCAAGAAGTGGTACGCTACGAGTACATTCCAAAACGAAAATTACCATAAAGTCTCTCATAAATATTCTAATTATTCAAAAATCCCGCCAAACATAGAAATAATGGTTCTAAAGACTTAATTGTGAATAAAATTAGACACACAATGATCAATTTGTTATGATTGAGTTAAAGAAGATAGAGACCCCCTTTTCAAATCATGGGCATTTTAGTCAATTAAAAAATGATGTCATTGAGTTTGGGCAATTTACTAGCACCAATATAAAAAATAGAAGGAATAAAGTTGTGAAATTTTTAAGCATGTCCCTTAATAAAAAATCTAAAAAATAATGTCATATTATCTTTTTTCTTTCATTAAAAGTAATTTTAAAAATATTTTTTTAAATATTATTTAAAAAATCACACTATAACTTATAAATAAAATTAAATGAATTTTTTAAAATGTGTTATATAAATAAGACTAGATAGTAAAATATATTTAATAAATTTTATTAATATGTGTGATTTTATCAAAAAAAAATCTTATAAATTAAATCAAAAGCAGTATAGCGCAAACATTTTTTATTATGCTAATGAATGGGAAACATGAACTCATTAATCATTAACATTAATTAATAGAACTAGGTAAATTATTGTGCAAGCAATGAGTACATGATTGCAACAGCGTTCATAAAAATAAAAATATTCTCTAATATTCAATAGTAATCACGTCAAAACCGGCGTGTACAATACTTTTGGGTTGTGATATCATAATTCTTCCTTTTTTTTATGTCAAAATTTTGGTATGATATTCTTAACTTTTAACTCACGTGTCACTTTCAATTGCAAACAACTTGCAACCACAGTTCCATTTATAAAAACTATTAGTTTATAGAACAGTTGGCCCTACGATGAGTCAGAAAAGGTCATGAAAGCGGCCTTTTTCCCTATATTTAAAAAAAAAATATCAATTGGTTACCTAAACAAAAAATTCGATTGCCAGTTCTTTATTTTCTTTTCCAACTTAACAGCTTATAAATTGAATTTAATTAAGAGAAGCCAAAACCCATATTTTCCCATACACAGCGCAAAGTATGAAAATGTTATGTTCGCCCCAATATGTTAATAATACACTTCTTCAGTTTATAAATATAAAATATTTTTAATCAAATCTTATCTTTTAATAAAGTAGTTACTTACTTTTCAACTAACCCTATTTTTTTATATTTACTCTTATTAAATACCTTATAATAAATATAAAGTCATTATCAATAAAAATACTTAAAAAAAATAATGATTGCACCTCAAAAAGTTAAAAGTACCTTATATTTTTAAACAGAAGAAATAATTTATTATCAACATTGGTTAATTATGATCACCTAAGTATGAGATCTCAAGTTATTGCACATGCAAAAAAATAGATTTGAAAAGTTTTTATATATATATATATATATATGGTTCTTGATCTAATTGTGTAGTATTCAAACATTGACAAGTCCAATTTAGTGTTTATCTTCTAAAAAATTTATATTTACACGGACTTTGAAACACATTCAAAAAGGCTTTTTTTTATAGCCATATGATGGTATCGAATTTTGGCAAAAAAAAAGAGTTAAATTTAAGTATTGTTGAGTCTAATTAAATATAACTCTTTCAGTTTCGTTCAAAATATATATATATATATATATATATATATTTTTTTCAGAACTTTTTTTTACATTCATACAAGCTTAAATTTAAAATCTTATATTTAAACAGTTGTAACCGATTCCATTACAAACAAACGCTTGCTCATTGGTAGATAGTTGTTTTTAGTTGAGTATGACAATACTCAAATATGATTTTTTATTGCATATGAAATAATAATATAAAAATGCATGATTAAAAATCATTAAAGGTCATGGTAATATTTAATTGAAACATCCATTTATATATATGCACTTCCCTGCGGTAAGATTTTTGAAAAATGATCAAAAATCTATATTTAAGTTGTGTGTTTTTTTTTAATATAATCAAATGGGTGTTCACTTGAAACAATGGAAGCAGCGTTCAGTGACGAAAGCAAAAGAATCTGCGTTCATGGATCAAAACGACCGTCGTGGCTTCCATGCTCAGGCAACAACGAAAGCGCCCTCTCAACGGCCACCAATATTTTAAAAGGTTAAATTATACTCCCTCTATTAATTTAAGTGGTTAGATGTTAAAAAAAAGTAAGATATTTTTAATATTTTAAAGTATAATTATTATTTTTTATAAAAAATAATTTTATTAAATAAATTATTTTATATTTATTTTAAAATAAAAATTCTATTAAATAGTACTAAATATGAAAAAAAAAGTTAATTTAAAAATAAATGACTACTTTATTAGGAGTAATATTCGATTAAAAATACCTTACATTCTTATGGAGGGAGTATTTTTTCCTATATCTTTTTTTAAACAAATGTTGGATACTCTATATTAGTAAATGAGGTATTTTTTCTTTTAAATTATTTTTTAGAAGAACAAAAATTCTCCTTTATTAATGATTCATTAACTTTGTAATTTTTTTTTGTCATGTAACTTTGCCATTTTTTATTAATATGGCATGTCTTTTGATATTAATTTATCCCTAAATTTTTTTTGAGAAACATTGGGCACGTTAAAATTTTATCAAAATAAAATTTAATAAATAATTTTAAAATATTTAATTTTAAATATTATTATTTATAAATATTTATAAAAAATTTTAAATTATTTTTTAAATATTAATAATCTAAACTATTTTTTTAAAATTTTATAGATGATGTGTAAATTATATGTGGAGATTTGTAAATAATAGTAACAACAATAATTTTTTCAAATAAATTATAGAAAATATCAAACAAGTGATACTTCAATTTTAAATATTTGTTAATTTAATTATTAGTTGATAAAAAAATTACAAAGGATGACCAAGAAAATTTTATTGACTTAATTAATATTAATTTTCTTAAAAGGTTAATCTCTTAATAAATATTAAATATGTTACTAATATTTATTAAATTTTATTTTAGTAAAATTGTAGGGTACCATCAGTATTAAAAAAAGAATTCAGAAATAAATTAATACTAAAGAACATGACACCTCAGTAAAAAATTAATAGAGTTAATAGATTACTAATGAAAAAATGTTTTTATTTTTCAGGTGCTCAGCATTTAAAAAAAAAAAGGTATTATAGAAAAAAAAATACCTTAACCCTTTTTTAAGTCCAATATCTCAATTAATTGTTGCTCGACGTCCCTTTCGTTCTGTGATCATCCTATTATCTTATTTCTCAATTAAAAATGGGTTCCTTTGCTCCGTTGAAAAGCTAAAATCTTTTTTTTTTTTTTTTCTGTCAGTTTTACAGACCACGCGGCTTCTAACTGTTGAACACTTCGAATTACCGCCGCACGAGTTTCATTTTCATTCTAAACAAGAGACAAAAGAAAACTACACAGAATCTTTAGCATAACCTTTCAGTTTCACTCATACCTAGATGCCACCATTCTGTGTCTCCTTGTTATGCCTCCTTGTTAACCATAGTCAAACTCAGAACTTTCTGAAGTTTCACGGCCAGTTTAAACGCTTCACGATAAAATAGTTCATATCTGTAGCTAGCTGATTAATTTCAAGTTCCCTTTTTTAATATTAACGGAGAATATGCCAGGTTGACTGAATTCAATGACGCAGGCTTATGGCCTTGTGGAGTTGAGTTTCACAAATAATATAGCCATGAAACGGTGATCTTTATGTCTGAAGAAAAGAGTATTGAGTATTCATTCCTTTGGTTTTGGAAAGGTTTGCCGTATGGTTGATGGCACTGATTTCAGCTTACAATTTCTATTTTGAAATCCGAAAGTGCTGATTTAAACTTGAGTTTCGAACAGTCAAGCAGCTTGAAGCAGTTGAGTTGAGAGGGGAGATCAGAGGCAGAAGGAGATGGAAGGAAGGGGCTTTTCTGGGTTATATAAGAACACAAGTGAAGAGCTGTTTCTGAAAACAGTGATGGAGAGTCCTATTGGAATGCCAGCACCAACCATGGAGATGTTGGGTTTCAAGGCTGTTTCCCAAAGTTTTCGCACAGATAGCGAGGAGCTCTTCAAACGCTGGCTAACAAATGCAGAGGCAAGCCTATTACTCTAGATCATATCACAGCTTTTGCTTTCAAGCTCTCACAAACCCTGAGTTTTCTCTCTGATTTCTATATATATATATATATATTCAACCGCATATGCTAGTTGACCTTCTAGCATTTTAATCTTCGACTAAAGCAATAGTCTTTGGATTTTTATTCAGAATATCATCTCTCTAGTTTTTAAGATAAACTTTTTCGATAGAGCTCAGATCTCCTTCAAGTTTATATGCATTAAACCGCATATGCTACTTCACTTCCAGTATTAAATTCTCGGACAAAAAGAATGAACTTTGAGTTTTTGTTCAGAATATCATCTTGCAAGTTTTCAAGATGAACTTTTTCTGAAGATCTGAGCTCCATGAAGTTTCTACCTCTAACAAATCCGACTCCTCAATTGATGTATCTTTGTTTCTTTAATCAGGGTTACAATTCAACAAGCATAGGACATAATAGTCGATTGTCACAGAGGTGAGTCTGTCATTGAAACACACACTTTAGAAACGTGTCAATTGGGTGCGCTTCAAAAGTTATATTAATAATTTATTATTGTTCTCACAGTCTTATTATCTGACACTTTACCTTCCCTCAAATTTTTACTTGGTTGTTTGTCAGTTTTCCTCATTAAGATTTCATGTAGTCCCACCTGAAGCTTCCTTCCTGATTTCTGTCCAATCCTGATATCATGATTCTGTTGTAACTGCAGGATATCCACTGAACTAGCTAGTTTGTCTAATCCACAACATGCTGGTGTCATTTCAGAGGGAAAAGGCAATGATAAATTATATACACAAAATAACCTTATGGTCAATGATGCTTCTAATGATTTTAGTCAAGCTCCTATCAGGTATATGCAATATTTTTTTTCTTGGAATTTCCCTCCAATTTATTGCTGATTCTTAATTATCTTTATTGTAACTCGTTTGATCAAAAAACAGTTATTGTGATTCAGAATGCAATATATATTATTCATCAAGTCTAGAGATAATATATACAGGTTTGGGAATAAATGGGATCCCACGATCAAGCCTAGGATATCAGTGGAAACATAAAAATAATGATCCTAATATCTTTGACTATTCTACCAGATATTCTCTCATAAATGACACTAAATATTTACAATAATTACAATTCTATCCACAGTTATGCTTTAGATTAGAAAGTACTTTTGTAATTGGGTTTACTGTCAATTTTCATCAGAGATCCTGCTGATACAGAACTGCAAGCTGGTAACTTATTCTTGGCAAAGGTTTGTTTATATCAATAGTATATTCATTTTTCCTTTTTTTTTTTTTGACAAAAGTATTCATGTTTACTTAATCTGCCCTTACGAATTCAGGCTTGGTTTCTTAGTGATCAAAGAATGACAAGAAGCCGATCCTCTGAATTGAGGTACTGTTATCATCTTGCATATGTTCATCCAACTCTCACGGTCTAGCAGTTAAAGCCTAAATTGTTTTTTTGTTATATATTTTTCACTTTCATACAATGGTCATACATGATACCATGAGATATTAATTTTTGTTACCGTCTGTCTCACAATTGGATTTACTTTTGATTGTTCAGAAAAATTAAAGTTTTGTACTTTCATTAATATGAGTTCTTTGTCAGGCGAAGGTATGTTGAAATGCAAAATGCTCAAGCAACACAAGGCATGGAATCCATACACGTGGCCCCTCAGGATGGCAGTGCTGACACATTGAAACAAGAAGTTTCAAACATAAATGGTTTTGGTTATCTTTCTCCATGTGAGCTTCCCAACCAGAAGGCTACATTCATGTCTCCATCAAACTCATCTTCATCTACCTTCAATACACCACAAATGGGTGATGCAGATAAAGTTTCATCTTATGTGAGCATGCTAAAAGGTACATTAGAACGTAAGAGACTCAGCAACCATATAGAGAAAGAAGCTGCAGAGGATAGCTCCAATGGTATCTTTGGTGCTCAGGGTGATTTTGCCAAAACTGGTTTTATGGCAGGACAAGAAAACTGGATCTATCAGAAGCCAATAAGTTTTCAAGGTGCATCTAATGGTCAAGTTAAGGACCATGGAGTCCCACAAACACTTGAAGAATCTATGAACCTTGACATGGATGGTTTTGCTAATCAGACAAACCCAATATATGTTGGAGCAGCTTCGCGAGAACCATCTCAAAGCGAATCTTCTGCTGCTGCACCAGTAGTTTCCTCTGGTTTAGATGCAACTGAAGGTCCAAGCATCTCAAGTCAAACGCCTTGTGAAAGCTCATGGAAACAAGTGGGAGTGAGCAAAAGTTCAGAAAATAGAGCCAAAGGTATAAATATGATATGATGACAAATTTGCATGAATGCTGCCCAAACTCTTTTTCTGACAAATAATTATCATTTAGGTCAGGAAAACAGAAGATTTGTCCCTATTTTATTTCATTTTCAAACTTTGTCCATCTAATATAGACTTCTTGGACTTGTAGGTGTCAGAGAACAGATAATGGATAATCTGAAAGATGATCGGAAGGTATATCCTTTACTTAGACCAAATGGAACTTGTGCTCTATAATTATGGAGTGATCACGGAGATTTTTGCTTGTGACAGTTTTTTCCTATAATAATGTTTCAAATCTTAATTATGCAGAGGAGAAGTCTAGAAAGATATGGATCTGTAACATCAGCTGCACCAGGTAACGATCCATCTCTTAATACAGTTCCCATTCTCTAAGCATACACTACAAATTAGATTACCCTCATTACTTGAACTATTCTGATGCTTTTGATTGTACTTTCAAATACCTTGGATTCTCTTTCATAGTGCTGCTACTGTGATTAGAGATATAACATTATCATCAAAACATTTCTTAACCTATATCATAGACCCAAATAAAACCAAAAAGTTCCATCATCTTGCAATCAGAGTTGTTCGTGAGGTTTATTACATATTCCAGATGTTATATTCACTTATAGATGCATAGCATACACTAAAGCAAAGGTTCAAAATAATTATGCAGAGGACAAGGGAGATGCAACAAAAAAGCGTCGAGTGGAGCGCTCAAGGAAGTATGTGAAACTATAAATATACGGACGATCTCTCTTCCTATATAATACTGTTTTTAGTTTTTGTTACAACAGTGATTCCTAATATCTCCATTCTGACTCGTTAGTGTCAGTAAGCAAAAATTCATTCCTTTTGTAGTAATTTAAAGGGATAATGAAATATTTGCTCTTTTAAGTTTGTCTCAGATATCAATTTAGTCCCCGAAGCTTAATCTTTATCAATCAAGTTCTTAAAGTTTCATAATCATACAAAATGACATCCCATGTGTATTTAGGATTATCTATCTTCAACCTAAACATTAAAGCGTCAGTCACCCTGCTTACAAGTATCTTTCATTCACGCCCTAACCCATCCTACATCTCTTTCAAGCCATAGGGACTAATTGTGTATAGATGTGTAACTTTAAGAACTTGATTAATAAAAATTAAACTTGAAGGACCAAATCAATAATCAAAGCATACTTGAATGATTAAAAGTTTCATTATCCCTAATTTACAATTGTCACTTGCTCATTTGCTTTCCTGCTTCCTGTTCTTGCACACTCCTCCTTCACCTTCTGGAACTTGAAGGCTTTTACAATTATGTTAAACAGCTTGCATAATTCCTGATGGACCATTTACTGCGTATGTTGAATCATATCAGAATTAAAAGTTAAACTTTATTTAAGAGGCTCACCATGCATCTGAAATTTTTTTGTAAATGCAGCAAAGTGCACAAAATTTTAACCAATTTAATCATGACCTGGTCATGCAGAATGGCTGAGGCTAAGGAAAGGAATTCAACACCACCAGTTCCATCGGATATGCAAGCTGTCTTGAAGCGATGTGAAAACCTTGAGAAGGAAGTTAGATCCCTAAAACTCAACCTGTCCTTCATGAATAGGTAATATAAATAAATTACGATTATGTGATTAAGATAGTATTTGTATTACAGAATCACATGCAAGAAGAAGTCATCTTATCTCAGTGGGTGGGATCTTATTACAGAATCACATATAACTAATTAACTATAATTGCCTTCCCTGAGTCCCTTTGAGCACAGAGAATCATGAATTAATGTTAAGGACTTGTACTTTGAATTTTCAGGAAGGATTCTGAGCAAACAAAGCAGATAGAGGAACTTCAGAAGCAAAATGAAGAATTAGCAGATGAAAAGGAACGCCTTTTAGAGGAAATTGAAAGGATTGTATCAGAGACTGGCACGATTTAATCTTTGTTTTACTTCTCAGTAATCTTTTATCTTCCTCATAAACATGTGGCTTAGACACGCTACGCCAAAAAATTTCACCATGAAGTCAGAGTTTTCGCAACCTGATTGCTGGTGAACCTCCGGAGTCTCCGTGCATGTGCTTATCACTGAATGTCTCTCTGAGTTGGCCATGTAATAGTAAAATACTAAATCTAACAGTAATTAATGTTGATTGTGATTTTGGAAGCTCGGTCTAGGACAAGATTCCAAATATTTTTAGCAAAGTCAGTCCCTTAGCATGAGATAATGACGTATGCAAGAAAATTATCATGACACTTCAACAAAACCTAAAATATTCGACATGTTCGACACCTATTTCTTTAAAATTTAAGGCAAAGGGAGGATTCTACAGGTGTTTCTATAAAGCATTATCAACAAATACGTGAAAAAAAGTAAAAAATAAATTATTTTCGAACATCAGAGTATTGTAATTGTCTATTAAAAAACTTGATGACAAAAGCAATAAAAATCAAACAACTTTGTCATTTAATTTTTCATTAAGAGATGCTAAAAGCCACATGTAGGAGTGGAATTGGATAGTCATCATGTTCAATATCTTTCCCCATTATCAGCAATAGTTGGAAAAAAATGTAGGCAAAATACAATGGTTGATGACTCTTGCCAAAAGACAAGGTGATTGAATATAACTGATTTGAGATCGTTTGGAAGCCAACACATAAGCAAACATCACAGTACAAACAGATTTTGAAATGCAGCCATTACATTTCATTAATCAAGATTTGATTCAATTTTAAACTCTATAAGACAGTCGTTTGAACTATACAAACTTCTTTCTACGCTGCTCGTTTACAAACAAGTCTATGAAGCCACCAGTAACACAATAATGCTATCAGCTGCAGCTATAATGTTACAACTTACAAGGTAATTAAATGAAGGGGCATGGCACTTCAATAAAACAAGTGCCACAACTTATGAAATCCTAAAACCTGAATATATCCATGAGCCCGACACTCTTCCAATGCTGAAGCCGACCAAAGCAGAAGCAGTTGATGAGAACGCCATTGTCAGGTTGAGGAAATCAATATGTGGCAGAAACTCAATGCGATGAAGAAAGCAGCCGCTGAATGAACCTAAGAAAGGCTATGGAGATCAAAGAAGTTGAAAACCCAGTTACCACCCCAGCTATCATTTCCCACTTCAAAATCTTAACCCTTGCCTTGCCGGTAAACCAGGAATTCACCATCTCTATGGTCCTGATGGGTGATCCAGACAACAATTAGAAAAGAAAAGGAAACTTTATTTATATGATATGCTATTCAAGCATATCCACAGATCAATCAAACTATTTTTCCAATAAAGTTAAGTTCATGAATCAGACATAGCCCCAAAATTTATCGTTTTGTACACGCGTTGGAATATAAAAACATATTTGTCCAGTTTTTTATTCAATACGTAAGATTGAAGAGGAAAAATAAGAGGTAGAATTCCAATATAACAAGCAACCCACTATTTCACTTTTACGTAGGGTTGGTATGGCTCTCAGTCTCCCACACAAGGACAGGCAATGCATGTGAATTGGTTATACTTGCTCCTCCCTTCCCCATTTTTCAATCCAATCCAAGAACTCTTCAAATGAATAGAATATGAGAACCATCATTCTTCTGGTACAATATTTAATAAAGTTAAGAATTTTTTTTTGATCCAATTGCAACCATAAAATTTATGACAGAAATACATCTGAGGTAAACATAAAAGGGGGCACAGCTAACTGCAACTGATGAGAAACTTTTATGAACATTTGGAGGTTCATACTTTTTTTTCCATTTTCCATCACCATAGAATGTGTTGAGTCACACATTTAGAGGACATTTCATTTCAATATTAAGAAGTACAATAGCCTACAGTGATATAGGAAAACATGAGAGATAAAAAACACCCCCTGCTGCACAGAAAAATCGAGATGCATTTTCTCCTCGTCTTCTTTGAAGTTCTCCGATGACAATTTAGTTCATGTATAGCACACCAACCAAATCGCCAAAGGTCATTCTAGATGCATTTTCTTCGTCACAAAGATCATCCATCCTAGGAATCTGATCCAGCCTTTATTTGAACAATTGACAGATGTGTTTAAATTGAAAACAACCTTTGATCCAGCTCTTATTTGAACGGAATGATACAATGTTAAGAATGTTTACTCAAGACCCTATATTCTGAGGCGGCATTTTATAAACCATTTAGGTAGCGTCCTGTGATAACTGGCAAACGAGCAAGTAATGCAATAATTGGTATGCAAGGGATAACAAGTACTCACAGAGTGAAATATTGTCTAATTGTGTCCATGGTAGATTTCTCATCGGCATGGCAACTAAAAAGATCATCTGGATCTAATCGCACTTTGGGGACACCAGATGTGTACCAGCAGTTATAAGTCTCATTGACCTGTCCAAGAACAAAGAGAAAAGTTCTTTAAAAATACCAATACTGAAGACCTAAACTAGTAATGATCATTATAAATGACATCATAAAGAATTAAGACATATTCGATGAAGTCAGGTCTACAAACATAAATTAATCGAGACCAAAAGTTGTTACCATACCTTGAATTTATATTGGGTCAGCCATGCAGCACCAAAATTGGGCCTGCAATAAAGAGGAAGGGGTTCATTTGGAGCCTCTGCGAATGCATGCATTGTCTGACCAGAAAGGACATCTTTATATTCCACCTGAAAAGGAGTTGAAAACTGAATTGTGTTAAGCCAAAGAAAACATGGATTGCAATGCACATAAGCATCTGTATACAGAAAAACGAAATTTGAACTATCAAAAGAAAAACGTGCATGACATTAGAATAAAAGGCACCAAAAAGCAGAAAAATTAAAACTTGCCAATATTAGCAACAACTAAACCGATATGCTCTAATACCTTGAATATGGAAGCCCAATAATAGTCATAATAACAGCGAAATTTGCTTCTTTGAAGAGGATGGGATATATACTTTGCTTTATAATTTGATAAACCAAAATTACAATTCTTGGATGACCTTATATCAACACCTGTAAAAGAATACAATGTAGAAAAAGTAAGTTCTACAAATAATAAATCAATGTGAATTTGACTTTATAGAGTAAATGAATATTATCAATTCGAATAAAAGTCAGACTGAAAAATCTAAATCAAATCAATCATTAAATTATTAAAGCAGTGAACAAGTTTAAAACATGTAAAGGGCGTGAAGCTTCACAGCAACATTTTTGTTTCACACCTCCTAACTCTAATAATGCCGGATCTGACAAACCTCGTAATCTAAATGTGTTCATTGCAATAAAAAGTTTATGCAGCCCATGTCTCCAACTCTGCAGTTAGGGCACCCCCAAAGTTAAACTTAACAATAAACACCTTCTACACCAATAGAAAACAATAAATCTAACTACCTACCAATTTTTTTTCAAGTGAAGTTTCTTTTGACACATTAGGGCCATTGTAAGAAAAATTCCAAACTAATGCAAATAACATAACCCTTTCAAATTTTAATTTGCCCCATTCAAACCTTATCTAAAATCTTGCTAGTCATATTGCATGGAGTAGGTTTCACCATGCCTCTCTGGTGGGATTTTTGTTCAGATTCCATAGATATCCCATTTTTCACCAGCTTCACCATAAACTCTGGCCTCTCCATTATTGACAATGATGACAACGACAACAAATCTTATCCTACTAGGTAGGGTCAGCTAAATGGATTGCACCATTGTGCTCTATTATCAATCAAGCTTTTAAGAATATTGTTAACTAGAAGTCTCATTCAACAACTTCCATAAATGTTTTGGTTTGCCTCTACCCCTCTTTACAAAGCTCAAGATTATCTATTCCACTCTCCTCACCGCTACCTCCCACAACCTTCTCTGTACATATTTAAATCATGCCAAACGTTTTTTCTACCATTTTTCCTTCAATATATCCACATCCACTTTTTCTCATACATCCTTATTTCGAATTTTATCTTCTTGTGTACGCCCGCATGCCTATCTCAACATTCTTATCTTTGCTACTCCAACTTTATACTTTTCCTGTCCTTTTAAAGTCCAACATTCACTGTCATATGACATAATTGGTCTTAAAGTAGTTTGAAAAAACTTCCCTTAACTCCTTTAGCCTTTCTCTAATTAAATCACTAAGCTTTCCATTATTGAATTCTCTGAAAATTCGTGTAACTACCTTAAAATTTATAAAAAGATATTTTTAACCATATGAAACTTTTGAGGCGTCACCACAGGGTTGAAAGGTGGATTTCTCCATATTTAAAACCTTTAAAGGGAGATACCAGCATCTCATTAACAACAACTCTTGCAAGTCTTTCAGCAAACTACATGCATACTTGTGAATTTTCTTCAGAGAGAGAGAGAGAAGTAGAATCAGGGACAGAACCAGGGATTCTGACTTAGCTGCCCCGCTAAAAGTATTTCACCGGTCCAACATGAGTTCTTATTTGGATAACTCACTGGTCCAATATAAATTAGTATTGACGAAAGCGATGAGTAGCTAGGATTGTGTAGATGGGTGCACTACAATCCGTCGCTGAGTAGAAATACAATATTTGGAATTATTCACAATTAGGGATTACTTTCTTAATTTACTGAAAATAACATCTAGTAGGGTGTAAGACCAGACCGCATTATAACCGGACGAGAGTAGGGAAATAAACGACGAACAGGCCAATAGGTTTTAGTTTTAGCTAGGCTCTTCCCAAACTACTTTTCTGAGCTGGGTTCAGCAATAAAAACTTAAAAATTCTAATTCTCAAGCGATGCCACGCAGAACAGTACGTTCGCTGTATTTTCACGCTAATTATCAGAAAAAGCAAAATAAAACACTTCCAGATCCAATGAAGCTTAACTATAAACTAGACATTTTAACGAAGGAAGAAAAAGCTTACCGCTAGATAAGATCTTACATTTGGAAGGAAGAGAAATAGGGTTGGAAATTGATAAATTCGTGCTCAGGACAGCTGTAAAACCAACCAGAAAGGGAAGAGATAAGAAGAATATGATGGGAAGTAGAAGGCCGACAATCCACCGAAGTGTGACAATCGAGAAATCCTCCTTCTTGTGCCCTTCCGATTCCGGGACCTCCTGGGTGGAATCCATTTTTCTAAGAAAACTAGGAACTTGTCTACCCGCCGGCCACCGGAACCATTTATCCGGTGATCGGAGTTTTGCACACGTAGATGAGAGCGTTGATCTATGCGGCCATATGCAATCGATGCATATTTACCATTTCGAAAAAAGAAAATGAAAGGGTTTGACATGGAAATGGCCAGATGGGGTTCGATTCCCATGCATCAAGTCAAAGTCGCTTATATTTAATAACTTATTTTTTATTTTTTAATCCATGTATATACGATCAAAAAAACCCTAAAAGTTTAATCGTAACGATTTATCATAAATATTGATAGTGATGATTGATTATGCCGAAGCGTTTAACCAATCTCATCGAAGTTGGAATGTGCTTGCATAAATGCACAGCATTTGAAGTGCTCCCTCTACAGTATTCAATACCATAAGATAATTTATAGAACCTTTGCCTAATTTTTAATATAAGATTCTTTAAAGCATTGATAATTAATAAGTTGTTCTCGAAAATACCCACATGTCTGATATCTAGTTGATTGATTTATTGGGATGGCATTTTTAACTCATAAATTTCACTCCAAAATGTATAAAATCCCTTAAATATTTCAAATTAACCTCCTAAAATTAAAAAAAAATAACGTTAGGAGGTTAATTTTAAACATTTAAGAGTAAAAAAATTACATTAATTACTATTTTAATTAAATTTAAATATGTCATTTTTTGGATTAATTTTATTTTTCAAAGCCCCACAATTAATTACTATTTTATAACAAAGTTTTTCATGTTAAATTAAGAAAAGTTACATAAAAACTTACATTGTATTTTATGTAAACAAATAATAAATGTATGAAAATTCTATTATTTCTTAAACATTTGCTTTTGTACTAGTTTTATCCATATTTTTTTAATGGTATATAATTTTCTTTTATTAAATGCTATTTTTTTTATATAATTCTTATGAGTGATAGCTTTTAGATAGTAATTTTTTCAATTATTTAATATAAAATATTATTTTAATTGATAAAAAATAATAAAATTATAATTTTTCTCTTAAATTATATTAACAGCGAATAATTAAAACAATGTCACTCAATCAAAAAAAAAAATGAGAGCGCGTCATGTGTGTGTTAAAAGGACAAATTGTAGTTTTTGTATTAAAAATTTGATAACAATGTTTCCCATGACATATGACATATGTATTTCATTAATCTAACATGACAAGTTCTATTAATAATATAACAGAGTTAATTAATAATAGATGATTTTGAAAAGTAAAATTAAATATTAAAGGAGTTAATTTTAAATGTTTAAAGATAGGGATCATATATAGTTGCATTATGCATTTTAAGCTAAATTTAAAATCAAAGTTAATAATTTTAATTAATGATATTTTAAAAGTGATCGTGTTTCTTAACTATATGAGTTAATTAAAAGTATCTTATGAATATAATAAAGGAGTAAGGCAAAAGACATTCACCTCAGTCTACACAGTGGGCAATTTTAATTGATTATGTGTTGAATAAGTCAATTAATAATCTTTAAAATTACACTACATCCTTATTATATATATATATATATATATACACTTATTTTAGAGGTATCTCAATTAAAAATATTATTAATATTAATTACATTCTTAATTAAAGATATTTTTTAAAAAATCTTATTAATTACATGTTAAAAATCCAAAATATTTTATATTTTTAACATAATGTTTAAAAAAATGTTTTTATAATATCAAATGAAACGAGTATCTCTCCCTTAATATGTCCTTTATTTAAGAAGGAATAAAACATATCAAGACACGAGAGTTCAACCCTGCAGACACGTCTTACTATTCGTTAGGCACTTAGGGTCCACCTACTATTGTTTGTTTATTTATTTATTTGCCAAACGCTCTTATTTATTTATTGATGATTGATGATTCTGAAAGATGACAGTGTACAAATGGCAGCTATGCATAGGGAGGTCGTAGGCAGGTGTGGCTTGTTTCTCTTTGCCGCGTGAGTTTTTTATAACATCTCAATTTAAATTTTAATAATTAATTTAAGTTAATAAAAAAAAAAATAATATTTAGAGATAAAAAAATTAATAAAAGATTATTATTAAATCCAATTTAAGATATAATTCTAAAAAATTTAAAAAAAAAAAAAATAATTAAAAAATATTATTAAATTATTATTATAATAAAAAAAGGAAAACGTATTTAAAAAAAAAGGAGAAGAAGAGAGAGGAAAGAGTAAATAAAAAAAAATGTGGGACCCACTGAATTTTTATAAAAACTCACCCGTTTCCTTTCGTTTCTTCATTCTTCGTGTGCTTGAGCTGAGACTGAAAGAGCGTCTAGTTTCACCGGTGCGGAGATCTGAGTTTTTAAGGTAAGAGTTTTTAATAGGATATTTAGGGTGTGATTTTAAGCTTTTCAAGACTAAGTAAGTGTTCTAAAATTTTTTCTTAGTCATCCTTTTTCTTTGGTTTCTGAGTTTGTAGTGGTAGAAAATTTAAGATCTGGAAGAGGGATGAATTTATGTTGAATAAATATGATTTTTGAGGTTGTCAGTAGTATAATAAATGTTCTAGAGTATAAATTTATTGATGATCTTTGAATCTGTGGCTTATGGATCAAATTCTAAACTAGATCTGAAAATATATGTTGATTTATTGAGGTTTAGATGATTATTTGGGACGAGAAATGAATTATTATAGTTATAGGATTATGATTCTAAGCTAGAGATTCAATTTTTAATTTTTGGGTATTTTAGGTACGAATTTATGAAATAAAAAGAAAATTTTGACAATAGAAATTAGTTTAGAAGTTGATTTTTAGATTATTAATGTTTATTGATAATTAAAAGAGGAGTTAAAAATTTTACTTAATAGTATTAACTATAGATTTGTATTAAGATTGAAATTAGGAATTATATTATATTTTTAATTCTATTATTAGAATTATTTTATTAGTTTCAAAAATTGAAACTAATATTTATAAATAATATGTTATTTGTAGATTGTATTACTGGTGAAGATTGTGGTGAGAGAGAAATTTTAAGGAATAATTTATTGAAAAAGCCACAAGGTAACCATGCTTTTAATTTGTGATTAGTGTTACTTCATGTTAATTGGGTGATTATTGAGAAAATTATGAATTTTGTAATATTGTATAATGGCATGTGGGAGGTAAAAATTTATCTGAAATGCTATAGTGTGTGAGTTGAAGCCAATTATAAAATATTTTATATTGAAATTATTGATATAAAAATGTGTTGGGTGACTGTAACCCAACTATGGTTGAGTTAAATTATTTAAAAAATTTTTTGGTGTGTTACAATTTTGGTATCAGAGCTACATGTTTCAAATTCTTATAAATTATGAAATTGTTATACATTAACCTAGTTTATTGGCAATATACATTATTAAATCATAATACTTCTCCATTATTTTCTTGTCTTGAGATTAGTGTTAACTTAACTATGTGACTTCCATCCTTTAGGAGGGGAGAGATGGTGTCCAAAACTAGGAGAGGTGGCGAAATTGCTGGTGATTCTATAGAGCCAATAGGAAATGACATACCTTCACTGCCACAACCGGAGCCCACACAGCAACAAATGGGGCAGGGCGAGCCTATACAGTCACAACTAAGGCAGGATGAGCCAACCATGAGGCAAATGATGGATCTACTATATAATCTTAGTGACCGCATGAAGAGACAAGAAGAAGAGTTGGCCGCTTTAAGACAATATAAGAGAATTCCAACCAAGAGGGAAATGGCCAACAAGAAGGAAGCCATACCAAGGTATTTAATGCGAGCCAATCTGCTGATGTAGGCTCACCTTCCTATTCTCATCATGAGACTAGTCCGAAGAATGTGAGTCTCCACTCTGAGCAATAGACATCCACGATCACAAAGATCTGAAGTACTTTTCGTAAGTTTAATCCTCCTACTTTCGATAGAAATCTTAAGCCAGCGGTGGTTGAAGAATGGATAGATCAATTGGAGAGTATTTTTCGTATAGTTGTGTGCACTTCTAATCAAAAGGTGCAGCTGGCAATATTCCTACTACAGAAGAGTGCTAAGAAATGGTGGGAAACATCAGGACCGAAGGATGATTCCTCTCTTACTTGGGAAGATTTTAAAGCCATATTGTTCGAGAATTATTTTCCTACTGCACTGAGAGCAGAAAAGGAGGCTGAGTTTCATGCATTCCGCCAGGGTGATCTAGATGAGGATGAATTTATTGAACAATTCTCAAAATTATCTAAACACTCTACTTACCTTCAGAAACATGAAGACACGGAGTGGATGGCTAAACGATTACTAGAGAAGGCGAGGCCTGATCTAAGGGAACAGTTAGCCCCTTTTGAGATCAAGACATTCAGTGAGATGTGCAATAAGCTTTGAATAGTTTCTCGGAGGAAAAGAGAGGCTAGATTAGAAGCTGACAGAGAGAGGAGGAAAGAACCTCATGGGAAGCCCCCTATCCACACCAGACCCATTGGTAGAGTAGAGAAGAGGAGCAGTCAAATCTTTAGAGGCTTTAGAAATCAGAAGAAGAAGGGCTACTACCATAAGGGCCAAAGCTACAGAGGGAGTCAGAGTGGGAGTCAGGGGTCCTACAGGAGCCCAGCAACCTCTACTCCTACTTCCGGTGCTGCTAGTAATCAAGCATGCAATAAGTGTGGGAAGTTTCATTCTGGTGATTGTTGGGTTTGTTACATCTGTCAGAAGCCTGGTCATATTGCTCGATTCTGCTATCAGAATCAAAATAGGGGTAATGATCAGAGACCTACAGTACCAACACGAGTGTATGCCCTCTCTGGGCCAGAGGCTGCTAACAACCCTAATGCTATCAGAGGTATAATCCGAATCCTTGATAATGATGTTTGTGCTTTGTTTGATTCGGGTGCTACACACTCTTTTGTGTCTAATGAATGTATGAAAAGATGTAAATTGCCTGTGTGTACCTTACCTTTTGATGTGAAGATTTCTACTCCTGCTGGTTTGACTGTAAGGACTGTTAAGGCATGTCTAAATGTAGAGGTTGAGTATGAGGGTCGAAAGACCACCATAGACCTCATTTGTTTGTCTTTGTCTGGGATTGATGTTATTGTAGGGATGGATTGGTTGTCTGCAAATGGAGCTGTACTTGATTGTCAGAAAAAGAGTGTGTCACTCTCAACTCTTACTGTAACCCC